TTTAGCAATATTCCAGCAATATCACGGCGGGGGATACCAGCAATGGGCTTCGGACATTGTACCCATGTGTGGAATCGAACTCGGGTCTTATGCGTGACGAACGAACGCTTTACCCACTAGGCTATGGCACCGCCCCCACAGCGACCCATGTTCCATGTCTACAATAAAGTCTAACTGAGGATTTCTTCCATCAGAAGTATGGAAGTACTGAAGTGTTACCACTTTATAGATCTGGAATAATGAAGATACTGAACAGCTGGTAGGAATATATACAACATTTACACCTGTAACCATCTTTTGCATTATTCAACTCAAACAATTGATTATTTATAACAGTATTTCAAATGTCAAACACAAAACGAATGAACATTGAATTTCTATTTAAACAAGTCGCAGAACCAGATATGCTAATGGATTGTGATTCAGTCCAACGTCTGGCCACTGTCGCTCAGCGATCTAAACTTGAAGTTCCACCGCGCCAGATGTGACGTTAATGTTGTATTTTCGATCGTTGTGTCTAGGAAGGACATTTGTCTAGTCTGAAGTGCTCTACTGTCGCATATGTGCCTCCATTGTCTGACGCCCAAGTCCAGAATAGTCTGCTCCGTATTTAACGATATGAATCGCTGCACTGACAATAGCATATGCGTACCTTCCTAAGTACTGACCTTTACGTGCATTTCTCTGTAGCTGACATTTGTAGGTCTGTTGAGCCTGGTTGTTGTTAATGAAGATGTGTCTTTGGGTTTATTGTGTAACCCGATCACCGATAATTAGGTGTTCATCTTATACAAAAAGTCTTGGAATTTTGACACATGAGGATAATTCCAGTTATTTCAATCAGCGAATGAGGCTTCATTGGGTTCACGTTGTTCAACCCGCACACATACAGAGAGAGAGAGAGAGAGAGAGAGAGAGAGAGAGAGAGAGAGAGAGAGAGAGAGAGAGAGAGAGAGAGAGAGAGAGAGAGAGAGAGAGAGAGAGAGAGAGAGAGAGAGAGAGGAGAGAGAGAGAGATAGGAGAGAGAGAGAGAGAGGCACAGAGAGAGAGGGACAGGAGTGAGACACAGAGGGACAGAGTGAAACATAATATTATAAAGAGAGACAGAGAGAGAGAGAGAGAGACAGAGGCAGAGTGAGGGAGAGAGAGACAGTGAGAGAGAGGGACCCACATCTTCTACACCTCCTCAATATTACAATATTGCAACAATGCCTTATTTTCATTGTTTATATCATTTTTAGTAAACACTTACAAAATCCTAGCGTCTCCTTACTGCTATCACTAATTACAGCACCAGCTCGATAAACCTAACCCCGTTAATCTATAAACCACAAATCTAGAATGTTGTCAATGGTGGAATAAAATTAAAGGGATGGTTTCACATACTTTGATTCCAATTCCAAACACTTGTTAATCCGAATAATTTCACGGGAACGACACCGTCCGCATTATTCGGTTTCAGTGTGAAATCCCAACGTATTTGGGCACAACAGCTTGCATTAAAGCAAGGTTATTGGATAACAGGAGTCGTTGCAATCAATCGCACAATACATTAACGTCACAATGAATTAACTGCTAGGACACAATGCCATCTATCGTAAAGCAAGACCTATAGATCCTTGGTCATGAATTATTCACAAATGCTTGTTTCGGTGTGTTAATGACACTTGTACCTGCTTCGCATTTCTCTGTTTACACACATGACATGAAGTACATACATGTTTAAAATACATACGTCAGTGTATTTGTCAAAAGAGGGAATTCAACACGAAAAACGATTCCTAAAGGAATACACATGCAGCATGTCATCGAGTAGATATATGTAAATTGGCCCAAAGCGCATGAATAATTTTGGTACCTTGATTCCATGCATACGCAGGGTATCGAGAGGATGACTTAATAATTTGGAAAGGGTTTTGTCACTAATGCATAATTAATCTCGATACCCGGTACCTTAGTGAATGTGGAAATAGTTTCACTATCGCGGGTGCTGTATACATCTGAGTCATTTATCTGTTATTTACAATGCAGGAGTGGGCTGGTTAAACGCCGCTCGGAAGTATTTCAGTTACAGCTTAAGGAGTGTGAACACCTCTCTCTCATATTTCTCTCTCTCTCTCTCTCTCTCTCTCTCTCTCTCTCTCTCTCTCTCTCTGTAGATGTAGTATCTACATTCAGTGTGTAAATAATATCCCGGGCAAACTCTGGGGTAGCTGTATCTAGCCCAGCACATACCGTCATTCAATAGTCCTTGAATTGATATAATGTTAAAATGTATTTAGTATTTGTAATAATTCTACTCTACGTAACCAATGCAAGGAAATGAAAAATTTTCGTTTCAAAAAGAGAGTGTGTGTGTGTGAGAGAGAGAGAGAGAGAGAGAGAGAGAGAGAGAGAGAGAGAGAGAGAGAGAGAGAGAGAGAGAGAGAGAGAGGAGGGAGAGGGAGAGGGAGCGGGAGAGGAGAGAGAGAGACAGACAGAGAGAGAGATGAGGACAGAGACACGAAGGACAGAGAGAGAGAGAGAGAGCGTGCTAGAGATTGTGAGAGAGAGAGAATCTATGTCAGAGAGTAGAGAGAGAGAGAGAGAGAGAGAGAGAGAGGGGGAGGGAGAGAGGGACAGTGGAGAGAGAGAGAGACAGAGAGAGAGAGTCACACCGACAGATGAAGACACTGCGTGCTACATTGTGCTGTATAAATCTATGTCAATGTAGACCAAGCTAATACCATCAGAGAAAGTCAGGCATGGCCTTTGGCAGGCCATGGCATGACATCATGGCTTAGCATGGCTTGACACTGACCATGGAGACTAAACCATCTCACGTCTACCACGTCGTTGTATAACAGTACAGGTCTGACTCACTGACGCATGAGACTATACAGGGCACCCGTACATGTTTAGCTTCATCCGTGGTATCAAGTTATCCCGACAGATGTTTAATCATTGATAACCTGATATCTGACATCTGGAAAGGCGCCATTTAGCGTTGTCTTTTATGTCACAACCATAGCAGGCGGATAAGCTGAGAATGGCTGATGTTATCGTATCAGGTTTGGCGTGAGTCATGGTACATATTTGGATTTCAAATTGGGACTGGTTGGCTGCAGATGGTGGACATTCATCTTGGTTATACAGTTAATATCAGAATGAATCATTTTTATGTGAAACTGTGCTATGATCCTCACCATATCTCTGATATTAGAATCAGATGTATGTACATGGTGCTATGCGTTTTGATTGGGCTTTGCGATACGTCTTAGGAGTCATATCAATGTCATTAGAAGCGGCAACAGCAGCAGCAGCAGCAGCAGTAGTAGCAGTAGTAGCAGCAGTAGCAGCAGCAGTAATTAGCGTCGTAGTAGTAGGAGTGGTAGTGGCAGTAGTAGTAGTAGTAGTAGTAGTAGTAGTAGTAGTAGTAGAAGTAGTAGTAATTGCTGTTGTAGTAGCAGCAGTGGTAGTAGCAGTAGCAGAAGTAGTAGCAGTAGTAGCAGCGTTAGTAAATAGCGTTGTAGTTGTAGGAGTGGTAGTGGCAGTAGTAGTAGTAGTAGTAATTGCTGTTGTAGTAGTAGCAGTGGTAGTAGCGGTAGAAGTAGTAGTAGTAGTAGTAGTAGTAGTAGTAGTAGATTCAGTAGTAGAGGTAGTATTAGGAATATTCTCAATAGCTTGGTACTACTACTACTACTACTACTACTACTACTAGTAGTAGTAGTAGTAGTAGTAGTATACATAGATTATTGTCAGAAGTAATAGTCGTAGCTGTCGTGGTAGTAGGAGCATCAGTAGTTGTAGTTGTTGTGGCAGCAGCATGAGGATGGATGATTGTTTGAAGAAGTTGTCGTATTTCAATTCATAATCTTTAAACTGGAACTATAATGAAATGTTCTGATGCTGTCTTTGTAGGCTATTGTCATACCAAGTACTGACCTAACGGTTCACGCTCAGTCTTCATCCAGACATATATTGGACTCTAGCTGTACTGGAATGCACATATTTATACACTTTCATATGCATCGATATTGTCACTGATGCATGTTAAATATTAATGCAGTTCTTCCCCACGATTGAAGCACGTTGTTTTAATATTCCAGTCACAATACGATCTGTTTTCCTTCACAAACCAAATCACGAAGAACACGTTACTGTAGATCTTGAATTGGCATCGACAACACATCGACAAGCGCAGTTTGTGTTACACATGCACATAATGCACGGTAAGTGGTTTGAATATGTTGCAGATTCAACAACATTGTTGTTGTGGTTGTATGGTTGGTCCACACCGAACCATTATTCAAAGAGGCGCTAAAGGAATCAAATCCCGCTCACTTTAAACATCATAAACGATTGATTGATGGCGAAAGCTATACAGCATCATAATATGTCTCCCAACCAGACTTTGAGTCATTCTGGAAAGTAAAGTCTGTCCCAGTGTGATGAATATATAATTAACAGATGTTTTGTGAATGTTCCTGTTCTTTAAGAATATTGCCAAGGGAGTTCCTTAAGTATCTTTGATCGTACATGCGAGTAATGATTTGTTTTTAAAATTCCATACATAAAATATAAATCGCTGCCTCGATCGTATGTACTGATTCTGAGATGTGGAACGGGTTTATCAGAGCGAACAGGACTCGTGGAAATTAGATTGGAGATATGTAATGTGGTTGTCGTTTTGCGTTGTGGTCGCAGAAATCCATAAATTCGTTCGTGGGACAAGTCAATATTAGGCGTAAATAACCGGTCTTTTCAGCTGTGGTAGGCATCCCAAGGGAGCTATAAATGTTGGGGCTACAACAACAGCGTGTACGACTGGGCAGGAACAGCTTGAGATTTCCTAGCAGACGACAGGGAATTTATCGTCTGCTCTCAACGAAGCAGACGTACAGAGTGACGACATGCTCTGATCTGCAGAAATCAATGACAAGATAGAACCTGGGACTGGCAACGTTGTAGAACAGGCACTGGGGATGGGGTAGGGGTTTAGACAAAAACGTGGTACTCACTATTTTCTGGTTAAGGTTTTCCAATTCTTTCTCAGTAACCTTGCGCTTTTGCTGTTCCTGTTGTTGTCGCTTATATTCGTTGTATTTTGAAAACAGATACATCCCCGGTGTCGCTAAAGCATTGAAAGGCTTCAGTAACGGAGAATGAGTCGGCCGTCCATGCGGCATTTTTTCGCAATGCTGCGAAGATGTACGTCGCTTCCAAAAGTGAACCATTATTCCCCGATTTTGGCTTTTCAAGTCATTTGCCGGAATCAATCCTTGACGCAAGATCGTGTGTTGCTCACCAGCCGCAAGTCCGTACTCTCGTCTGATTGGACGATATTCTCCGTCTGGAAGAATCCATGTCATCGATTGGCTGAGCGAGGCACCTGCTGGTCATTCATCAGCTGGAGCATATTTTATACTCACAACGAAGGGGGTTCACTGTGTGGGACGATGGTCAGGTCCGGTACCCGGGTAAGGGTGACAATAGTCCCCGTTGGTCATTTTCCCTGCACAGAAATGTCAAGCATGTCAAAGGCTGAATTCCTGAACGCGAGTACTCCTCGCGTGGTGGGACTTTACCGCGGATCCAATCAATACTGGCTGTGTGCAGAAAATAATATAACTGTATAGGCACTCTCGTTACACAAGATGCGTTGCTAATACCTCTCACAACTACACTTAGCACCGCGACGTGGCAGGCCTCTCACGGAGTTATCAAGTCTATTTCAAAATTAAGGCTGGTTAGCGACGCAGTTTCATATACAGGACGTTGTCATTGTCGACTCTCAGGTTCATGTGCAGCACCTGCTGTGTGGATCGCTTGGCTGGGTAGCCTTTGTTTGATTATACATAACCAGGCATATATATCTAATGTGATGCGATTGTTGTGTGTATTGTCTGATTGTTTGCTTAAATAATGAAGCGGTTTGGCTGGGTTTGTACAGACGGTTGGATGGATGACTCAGACTCGTGGATGTGAAGCTGGAGCTGTTTACATTGGTACAGAGTCACTTGGTTAAGTCAAACAACGGAATCAAGTACACATTGCAGGTTTGTACATAGTGACAGGTTTTGTTTGTTCGCAGTGGAAAATGCATTCAGCCATACAGGAATGTGATGACAGTCTGTAAATAATCGAGTCTGGACCAGACAATCCAGTGATTGACATCATGGCCATCGATGTATGCAATTGGGATACGATGACATGTTTGAGTCAACTCGAGCATGACCACCCGCCCCTGTTGGTCTTATCTCATAACAATCATGTGTTGCTGAAGACCAGTTCTAACCCGGATGTTCTCCGGGGCATTGTGACAAATGATGTAATGAGATGCTGTGATGAGATGCTGTGATGAGATGCTGTGATATGCTTGGAAGCGTGCGATCGATGTGAAAGGGAACCTGGAAGGTTAAGCAGTTTGATAAACAGACGGGTATGACAAGGAGGAAAGAGTACGTGACATGGATTGGAGTGTATGACAAATAGAAGGGGTTGACACAGGCGAAAGGGTATGACATGGTTTTAACGTTATGACTCAGTTTGAGTGAGTGAGTTTAGTTTTACGCCGCTTTTAGCAATATTCCAGCAATATACACCCGAAATGGGCTTCACACATTGTACCCATGTGGGGAATCGATCCCAGATCTTCGGCATGGTTAGCGAACACCTTAACCACTAGGCCTCAACCGCCCCTGATTCAGTTTGAAGGTTAAGCCATAGAATAGTCTGTCTCACAGTCCCTGACCAACATCATTTTCCCTACTGCAAAGACCTCCTCGTAATTCTAAAGCCCTAAATGAAGCAAGTCTAGATTCTGAATTTCCCATCTTACCGGTAGCTGGAACATTGCTGAGTGCGGCGTAAAACTAAACTCACTCACTAACCATCTTGCCGGAGCTCCTTTTCAGTTTAAATGGGTTTGTTTTTACTAAGCTAAGTTAGTTTTCCATTGACGGGGCGGTGGGGTAGCCTAGTGGTTAAAGCGTTCGCTCGTCACGCCGAAGACCCGGGTTCGATTCCCCACATGGGTACAACGTGTGAAGCCCATGTCTGGTGTCCCCCGCCGTGATATAGCTTGAATATTGTTAAAAGCGGCGTAAAACTGAACTCACGCACTCACTTCCATTAACGGAGTGTACAGAATAAGGTGTAGCAGGTTGCCAGCTATGGCATAGAGGAGAGAGTGCATAGCGTGGACTGACAGGTATGACAGATGCAAGGTTTGGAGCACGGTATGACAAAGGGTATGGAAAGGTTTGACAAACAGTGAAGGGTATGGCAAACGTCTTTTGTACGACATATGACACAGTACATGGGGAAACAGTGGGTATGAAGGAAGTAGTGAGTGAGTTTAGTTTTACGCCGCACTGAGCAATATCCCAGCTGCAATAATCCAGACCGGGACAGATAATCCAGTGATTGGCACAATGGCATATTGCATTGCATCACGAAATACGATGTTTTTATTACACATAATCCGATGGTATGTTCCGATCTCTCTGTTCGCGAAAAAGAAAAAACGAAAGAAATGCATCGCTCTCTGAAACGTCCACATAACTTAGAAACCTGTTGAAATTCAATTGAAGTCTGTAAATGTGTTTTTCATTTGCATCACTGGGGCACCTCGAGGGCGGCGGGGTGGCCTACTGATAAAAGCGTTCACTCGTCACGCCCAAGACCCGGGTTCGATTCCCCATGGGCACAATCTGTGCAGATCATTTCAGATGTCCCCCGCCGTGATATTGTGGGAATATTGCTAAAAGCGGCGTAAAACCAAACTCACCCATCACTCAGGACATCCTAAAGACGAACGTACCTTCTTAAAAAGAATGTATTGTTCCATAGACTGGACAAAAATAATCTTTCCTAAGATTTTACACAAAGATTTCGTTGGAAACATTGTGTGTCCTTAAACATCTGTCATGCATAAAAAAGAAGAACTTCTCCCAGTCTTCCTTCCAGAGACAACCACTGCACGTTTCAAGTCTGTCACGCGAATTTCGATTTAATGAAATTGAAAATAACAAAGAAGTGTTTCCCTTACAACTACTACTGCCGGTACAACATCCTCTACTACGGGAGCTGTGTGTACAAGTCGTCGGGAGAATCCTGTCCACACAATGGGAATTCTATCCACACATGCCGATGCTTAAGCTTGGAAACCAGTTTTCAGAATTCTTGTGGTTATCCAAAACTGTGAAAGAAAACTGGGAATTCAAATTATCGATCTTCATTTAAACTCCTTGACAACGCTCAGCACAGCGTTTCTTAAAGGTCACGGTGACATCACGTGACAATGGTGCTGCCGTTGGAAGATGAGCGCCCAGAAGCTACTTGTAGTCTTGGTTCCAAATACCGTAGTCATCAAAAGTATTTTCACTACTTTCTGAGCAAGGCAACTATGATCGTTCGAATATCCAGGGAGTCTATATTAGACTATGTGTATACTCTAACTGGTATATTCAAAAGGTTTATGCCTTGTGTCTGCGCCTTTGAACATTGAACTGACGGTAATATTAAAAACCACAAAACCCTTTCCACCTCAATCGATTGTACAATTTTGAGTGAGTGAGTGAGTTTAGTTTTTCGCCGCTTTTAGCAATATTCCAGCAATATCACGGCGGGGGACACCAGAAATGGGCTTCACACATTGTACCCGTGTGGGGAATCGAACCCGGGTCTTCGGCGTGATGAGCGAACGCTTTAACCACTATGCTACCCCACCGCCCCTCAATTGTGACTATATCATGAGTAAGTATTTGCTTGACGCCGCATTCAGCAGTATTACAGCCGAATATAAACCGAAATATTCTTTAACATTAAAACCCTATAACATTATTTGTACTACATAATAACAGTGTTTTCATTTTGTCGTTTGAATTTAGAAAATGGAAGAGAAATAGTACATCCATTATCAATGTCTTTGTTGAATAACCGTTATTATTCTTCATTCTCATGATTTTGTACATTTGTAAGTAAATATGATCATGTTTTTATATACGTTTGTATTTGATATACATCTATTCAAGCTCGCTCAGATGTAAGACAAATTCCCCCACGGGCAATACAGAATTATTTTGTCCTGTTTTATCTTATCTTAAACTGCTATATTCATGTTAACCTTAAACGTCAAAAGATAACCGTCTCAATTATCTGACCCGTGAAGATCCGGGGTAGAATGGGTCTTCAGCAACCCATGTACTTGCCATAACAAGGCGACTATCTTGTCGTAAGAGGCGACTAACGGGATCGGGTGGTCAGTTTCGCTGACTTGGTTGACAAATGTCATCGGTTCCCAATTGCGCAGATCGATGGTCATGCTGTTGATCACTGGATTGTCTGGTCCAGACTCGATTATTTACAGACCGCCGCCATATAGCTGGAATATTGCTTAGTGCGACGTCAAACTAAACTCACTCACTCACTCACTCCATTATCTGCCGAATCATTCCACTTCCCTGAGTGAGTGAGCGAGTATGGTTTTACGCCGCTTTGAGCAATATTCCAGCAATATCATGGCGGGGGACACCAAAAATGGGCTTCACACATTGTACTCATGTGGGGATTCGAACCCGGGTCTTCGGCGTGACGAGCGAACGCTTTAACCACTAGGCTACCCCACTGCCCCTGGATACAATATTGAATTTCTGAAGAACAGTGATGACACCAGGTGTTCCTTAAACAACAATGTGGATTAATGTTAACAAGAAAACGGCGATGAAGCTAACGTCTCAAAGTGCATATTTTGATATCAAGCAGACCAAATTTAATTATGGATCATGACCTGAGCAGACTGCACGTGCCTCATTCCAATTATCCAAAATGGCGCAAAGTTATGGAAATACCAATATTTATCCTGCTAGCGGGTAATGGAATTATACACTGTGAAATGTACTGAGTGCTTGGCGCATAAAGAAAGACTGGTTTAACTGCTTAGTCGCGCAGCACGTTTGGCGCCTTGGAAACAGTGTGGTGGGAATTTGTACTTTCCACAATTATCTGTGCGCATGCGCATGTCTTATTTACAGACGTAAATGTATATGAATACATTTCTGAATGTAGAAGACCTTTTAAGATTCATTTCGCATTAAATTACTGATGCTCATTTCGCAGGAATTCCTTCTCACAAACAAACTTCACATTGTCCGATACATATTTCTCTCCATTTGTAACTACTCGCCTCTTTCCGTGACCTACAAGAAGACTCGTACCCTTATCGTACGCCATTATTGCCAAGAATCGTGGCAAACCAATCAAATCGCGCGTAGTAAAACGCTTTTCGAAGCATGAAAATGGCGGAACCGTTGAAGTTTGAAACTTCGCTAAACTATGCAAAGCACAATTTAAACATAAACTTTGAGCTAAAGGATCAGAAACTTTAAACACTGAAACAGACTTACAAAGGAAATGACTGTATTGCTGTTTTGCCCACGGGATATAGGATGTTCCAGGAGCCATGTTTGGAAATTCAGAGTTATCTTTCCTTGGCAATAGTACTAGACTATTTTCATCTCCATGCCCGTTTGCGCTTAGACAGGGCCCAGTCGTAAACATGGCCACGAGAGGGGTACGAGACGTCATCCGGCTTGCCGAAATCACACGAGTAGTTACGAATGATTTCTCTCTA